TTATCTTAATTAAACTGCTGTTTACGTGAGCAAAGTTGATTTATTTCAGTATTGCTTAGCATCATTACACCATCCATTTAATTGTGCAAATTTCCTTTAGATCAAATCACACACTCCACCTCAAAAAGTTATGAAATGCCTGTGAACCACAAAGAGCAAACTCAGAGCAAATGTATCTGTAGGAAACATTGTAATATAGTAGGATGTGTTTTACAACACAAGATATAAAAGACCAATACTATATCACAAGGCTATCGGTCTAGACGATGCCTCTATAAGCTAATCATGACCACCAAGAAGGACATACGTCTTTTTATTTTACAATCAATGCGCCATTCATCTTGATAAGAAAATACACACATGATCTGATGGTAGAATACTGGCTATTAATGGTGCTGAGATGAAGGTTTTCAGCATATCTTAAGTTTGGCAACAAAATAACTACAGTTGCTGGTTAATAAATGAAACCTGGAAAAAACACTACTTTATAATGTAGTTCTGAAATCGGAAGTGCATAAAGGTTCAAATCAGAAATTAGGAGGACAGTGCATTTATTGTTGGCCATTCATTCCAAGTTTTCAATAATGTTATTCAACAGATTTGTCGAGAGTTCCAAATACAGGCTCTCCAAGGAACAAACTTGGTCCCATGTTACTGGGCTTGATGCCAAAATTACTGGGCAAAATTCTATGGCTGATGTTCTGCAGCAGATCAGACTAGATGATCATAACAGTCCTTTCAAGCCTTAATATCTATGAAAAAAATACTACAGCACAAAATTAAACTCACTGGATAGTAGCTTCGTTAATGTTTTATTTATTTCCTTTTACTGATTGTGAGTGAACCTCCAGTTCTGAATTAAGAATGCCTAAAGAAAGGAGAATTAGTCCTGGAGAAGAAAGCTACACAAGAAGAAAACCTGAATTTTGGCTCGTGGGAATTTATTTGATAATGTCTAAAAAGAGGATTTTTCTGTAGCCTTTAACAATGCATTTTTTTCAGTTGGACCCTTTTTTAAAAGTGAGGAGAGCAAAAAGGAAACAAGCAATGAAAACATGTGTTTGGTTAGCTGCCTTTTGCTTTAGCTCTCATAAGAGCGATCCTAGTCTCTTATCTGTAAACTACTGAGCAAAAAAACTGCATATACTGGCTAGAGTTATAGGGTATGTTGTAGGAAACTTCCCAGATATACCTCATGGAGTTGGCTCTGAATTCCCTCTGCAGGATACGGAGAGGTTTTGTCTCCAGGCAAGAGGCATAGAGTCCCACACCTGAAGAGACTGGGGATTCAAAGGAGATAGGAAGTTCCAACCTTGTAGATTCTGCACCCTCAGACCAGTATACCTCTCTCGCCCAAACAGATCTCTCTCAGGAAATTTTGCTATGATTGGTTCCTCTGCAGGCAACTGGCCCTTAACAAAGAATACAGACACAAGGAGGAAGTTAATGCAGCAAAGAAGAGCATTAACTTGTACAAGGTTATCTGCCAGTGCTAGGCAGGAACATACTGCAGACAGTGGGAATCTCATGCCTCCTTTCCAGCTCAGGACATACCTCAAAAATACTCATATCAACATGGTTTTGATATGAATGAAGGGGCTTCCATGGGTTTGGGGGAAGGAAGGGAGAATGCCATGTTGGTTCTGCTCTTCCCTCCCACTCTGTTTTGCCCCTGTGTACCTCACATCATTGGGCAGCAAAGGACCTCTCTCAATACTACACGAAAAGAACTCTATTTCTCTATTACTCAGTATGCTACAGAGCTCCCGATCATGCAAACAAACACTTATGCATATACATCTCTACCCCGATATAACGCGACCAGATATAACACGAATTCTGATATAATGCGGCAAAGCAGTGCTCCGGGGGGCAGGGCTGCGCACTCCGGCGGATCAAAGCAAGTTCGATATAACGCAGTTTCACCTATAACGCGGTAAGATTTTTTGGCTCCCGAGGACAGCGTTATATCAGGGTAGAGGTGTACTTAATTGTAAGTACTAGTGGTCCCATTGAAATCAATGGGGCTACTTTGAGACATAAAAATTAGGCAGATGCATAAGTATTTGCAGGGTCAGGGCTAACACTGTAAAGGGCTATAATGCTAAGCAAATGCCAGATTCAGTACACATAGCAAATACATAGTCCACAGATGCATTTAGTGGTCCTCATTGAGCTGGTCTGTATCGCTGTAAATTTTCAATTACGTCTTATTGGCATTGCCAAAATAATTATTGGCTCTTAGTGGATCTGAAGGCTCTGAATGTTGTTGGAGAAAAATCAGATGTACAGCATAATAAATGCACTGCTTTGATTTTGCTTAACTCGCACTTTCAATGTAATATATCACTTCATAGGGGGAAAAAAATCAAAGCTCCATAAAGAGTAAAAACTAAAGAAAAAAATTTAACTACAGAATATATATGACCTATTAATTTTGTCTAATAATGAAGTGTTTTTGGATGATTTCTAAAACTCACTTTCATTTTGATGCTTCATTTATTTTAATCTAGGATATAATTAGAGGGAAATCAAATCCATCCCCAAAGCAGAATAGTCACCTGTCTAAGATGCCATTCATTTGCAGCTTGCCATTTCTTTCTAAATTTTTTCCCCCATGTGTTCAAACTGAGTGTTACATACACTGACAAATTTTATTTAAATCAATGTCCATTAACAACTTATCACTAAAATTAAAGTGGAGGATGTTTGATGCATGGCTGGTTTTCAAAACATGATTTCTTTATGTTATTTTTCTGGTCTTAATGGGCCTGATTCAGTTATAACCGTACAGCCAATAAGAACTGGAATAGCAATAATATTACAATGGATGCATATAATATTTTGCTTAGTCCTCTGCGTCTTTAGCTGGTTATTTAGCTATAATCTTTAAACGGGACCCTTACAAAGAAGGAATGTGTGTAGAAAGGGGAAACAGAGGCACATTTTAACACTCATTGAAATCCAACTGAAACAGGTGAGAGAAGAGAGGCACAAAATGAAAACGCTATAAAACATTTTCTAAGAAAACAACCCAGAGGTAGTTGGTGCTTGAGTCCTATCACGCTAAAGTTCTGCACCAGCCCAATGTCGTTACACTAGTATAAAACTGGTACAGGGTAATAGAATCAGGCCCTTGAACCTTTGCATATAGTGAAGTTTGCACTATGGCCCACATCAACCACCTTAAAGTCCCCTGAAGGTTTTGAGTACAATTCAGTTCCACCTTTAATTGACTACCCATTCCCCACTAGGTAACTGATTTTTTTTCGGACATACTAGCACATGACTTCAAAAGCTTTTGTAGATTTTAAACAAAATTAACCCTTGTTGCACATTTTCAGTGAGAGTCAACCCTTGAGTGACTCCTCCTGGAAGAGACACTCTGGCAGGGGCAGGCCATCGTCAGTACATGAGATGGCATTTACAAAGAGGAGGAATAAATCGTATCTTGATGCAAGGAGAGCTGTCGCACCTGAATTGCTATCTAGCCAGATGAAAATATAACACCTACTAAGAACGCAGCTCAGACATGGGAAAAACCTCCCTGAGAAGCAATGAACAAGACGGTCTTGTGCTGATGATACCAAGATATCCAGTAACAAGATCATCTGTAACCAGATTATCTTGAGAAAAGCTATGTCACTGATGAATTCATGCTGTGATGGGACAGTGGTTTATCTCATCACAGGATACTCCTATTATAAATTATTTTGCAGAGATAACGTGCCATAAAAGATGCTCAATAGGTGAGCATTCCAAGCACATACTGGAGTGCTTCACTAACTTCCTTATTTGTTACCATATGCTGCACCTTGCATCCCATACTTAAATATAGTTAATGAATGCATCGGATAATGGCTGAATAAATATAAAGGAGACATAGCTTAATTACAGGAATAGAGAATAAGATCCATTTTGCAGCTCTCAGTGTTGAAGTACTCTTACTAAGGGTTAAAATTAAATATAGTTAAGATCAGAGAACGATTGCTAGGTAATCAGGCAGCATGTATACTGGCTGCTGCAACAAATAAATGTAAAAACACTGCATTTGAAAAAATTTAGTTGATTTTGTCAAAAATCATGCCTTGATTGCATATTCCTTAGCAAGCAGAAGATAAAACTTTCCAACTGTATATAAAAAAACCCCCTACATATACACAATTCTACTTTTCCTGCTCTTTCTTTCAATACAAGGATAGCAAAAATTGTCCTTGAATTCATCATAGAATATGAATAACCAATTTAAGCTTTCTGCTAAGTGACAAGAGAAGAAAGGCAGACATTTTAGAGTAGAGACAGACTCATAGGGAAAGGCTCCTTAGTGAAACACCATTTCCCCCTTTCTTGGCTGCAAGAGATTGCTTAAAAACAAGGTGTTTCATTAAAACAGAAAGCATTTCTGCTTTCTCTTCTTCAGCTTGTCCCACCACTGGCACTTCTGTGCAGGCTGTATTACTGTTCCTCCAATGTAAGTCCCATTCCCAGATCAGCTCCAACTTTAAAATAGTAACTATTACTAGTTACTGACTATTTGTGCTTTAGAAGGATTATGTTTATTGCCACAGAACAAGGAAACAATGTTTACATGCAATTTCTACCAATTTCAGCTCAGATGGGGGCAAGTCATTCCTCAGCAGAGCACTGTGTGACTTTCAAAACAAATGAATATACAAATCTGCATTTCCAGACTTTGTGAGTCAAAAATGATGCTCGAGAACTAAAATTTATAAGACAGTAAACATGGATTACTAGTTCATTGGCACTAATGTTGGATCCAGTTATTAGAATAAAAGTGCTCAAAAACTACTAGGATGAGTATGCAATAAGGGGTTATGCACTGGTAGTTAGAGCTGATCTCACTAGATCACATTGTAGTTCTTTAGAAAAGCATGAACAATTCTGAAAGCAAGGTTTTAAAACCCAAAAGCTTTTGAGGATTACTTTTAGGATTATTGGTGGGCACTACTGACAAACAGAAGTTAAGTCAATAAACTTACTGATTATCTTTTTTCTTCTTTTTGTACGGGTCCATTAGACGAAGGGTATCTCTGATGACAGCCACTTTTATTTCTTCATCAACGGGGCTTGGGACATTTTCAAACACTCCTGGAGAAAGCTTTAATTTGTAAAGGATACAATTGTTCAGTGTAGAACTGCTGCTTATTTATTACGTAGCTGCTCAAGTCTTATTCTTATCCCTTAGGTCATAAATATACAATGACAGAGCATAGAACACTACAGTAAAGAATAAAAATGATCTGTTAACATATACAAAATGATACTAGGGAAATTTTAGTCAAGTCACCTAAATACATTGAAAAAAAGATCTTCGCCGTCAATGTTACCAGTTATATACACAAACATGAAAAATGGTTAATATTCACCCAAATATAATTAACTCAACTGCCAGGATGTTGAATAAGAGCATTTCTGACAAAGAAGATGGAGAGCTTTCACAATTCCAATAAGTCATGTTTCAAGAGCATCAGATTAGCAATGATTGCAAAGCCAAAAATATTACAAAAAGCCTTACAGGTTTCATATTAGCCGACAGCTTCCATCTTTCAAAAACGCAAAAAGACCAAAAAAACCAACCCCTAAACAATTACATTCTAATATCATGTCAGGCTGTAAGGTCTTACCTCTTGCTCATGTTCTATTCTCATGCTGGGGTTTGCATTTACTTCAAGTAACACAGGCTTCAAATTTTTCATTAGGAGAATGTCAAATCCTAAAATCTGTGCATAACGCAACACAACATTACTTTCACTCGCTGCTATTTCTTTTAGAGAATTGCACATATCATTACGTAGACAAGTTATCCATCTAACTAAAGGAACTTCTCTCCCAATCTACCCATGGAACTGGAGAGCTCAACAGGATTATCTAAATTCTTTGTTTTCCCCCCATCGTTGGGGAAGCACTTCCCCAGAGTAGGGACATGCAAAATTCCATTCCCACAAAACATTTTAATAATCATCTTTTAAACCTCTTCCTTCATGAACAGACTGTTATGCCATCATGTTGTAATAAGAAGGGGAATGGTTAAGGCATTTGAGTGGGATTCAGGAGATCTGGGTTAAGTTCTTAGTTCAGCCACAGTCATCCTGCATGGCTTTAGGCAAATCACTTAAGTTCTTCATGTCTCACTTCCCCACCTATACAACAAAGCAAATATTTCCTGTCTCCTGCACTTTATCTGCCTGGTCTGTTTAGACTGTAAACTCTTTGGGACAGGGACTGTCCTCTTCCTATGTGTTTGTATGGCATTTAGTGCAATGGGGCCTTGAGTTCTACCAGGATTTCCTTGGTGTGGTCATCTTTCCTTGCTGAGCCCTCTGAGTCTTCTCTGTAGCATACCAAACACAGTGTCTGCTCAGCCTTTGTGAAAGTCCTGCTGAAGACACTACATGCTTGCCTTCAGCCAGTTAATGCAATTGTGAGATTTTTGCAGATCTTGTTTAAAGAAAAGTGACCATCCTTTCCTCCAATTTCTCCAATTCATTCCAGTATCTTAGCTCTACACTCAACCTGCCATTCCTCGCAAAAAAAACGAAGTCTGATTTCACAAAACCTCTTTTACTAGGACAGTTTTTTTCTCAGCCGATCTGGTGGTTTGTACAGTGCACTGCAGCATGGACTTCTCCCTTCCTGAGGCTTCTAGCACACTATAGAGGCCATTAGGGTAGGTGAAAACCCACCATTCTCCTGCAGTAGAAACCAATTTACTGTGGACTCATCTAGTTGTTGTGTGTGGCCAGAATACAGATTTGCCACTACTTACAGGCTCTTTGTTGTGGGAAGAGAAATAAAAAACGTCTGAAGTGTAGTTATCAGTAGAGCATTTTATTGTGGATTTAGACACTAATTGGTAAATTGCTGCTTCAGTGGTCATCTACACTTTAATGATAGAGTTTGTTAATATAATCATAGCCTGTCACGGTTTTCTGGTGAGACCTGCCTGAATTACAGTTCTGCAAAGGTCATTCGTGATGCTGGACATTTCATGACTCATCTTTCTTCCTGTCCTCTCTTACAAAAAAAACCCCAGAAAAAATACCACATGGATGGAGGAAATTTTTCCTGGTTTAGTGAGTTGGTTCATAGTACACATAAACCATTTAAACTGACTGGGCCAGTTAGAAACCACAATGTGACAGACCACCTAACTTATCAAAGTGGCAATAATCTGAACTGGTCTTTTATGTGGAGAATACAGATGGCCATCCAGATGCCAGCATTTGGAAGGTAGAAGTAAAAGGGAATGAGAGGGACGGTAGGGGATTTGGAAATGTGCTAAGTGCTCAGCATTTCCCTTATGTACTGCCAGTGGCGACCTTCATCACGCTATTTATACTACACTCATCACTATCTGAGCATCTATGATTATTATGATTTGGAGTTTTCAACATTGCCATCTGGAAGCTTCAAAGGGGAGTGTTTTAATGTGATTGAAAACCCACAGAAACTATGAGGATGTGTTTAAGGGTGGTGGTAAGGTGGCTTCAGTGACACTGATGAGGGTCTGCAAGCCAAAAAATGTGATGAAGAGAATATAAATTGTGAACTTGCACAGGACATTGCCCAGTTTTCAACTACTATCCCCACTAGTGATCAACAAAAAGAATAAAAGAGAAAACTTTTTGGGAAATGAATTAAACATACAAGCTTAATCTATGCATAAAAAAATAACTTTACTCCAATATTGTTACAGGAAGGGCTCTAGCAATGATGAGGTTATATTTCAGGGAGTGCACCCCTTACATAAAAATTCCTGACCTACCTGGAAGCAAGTTGGCCCAGGCTTTCCAGCTGGTATATCAGATTGGTAATAAACTTTCAGCTCTGGAGTCAGTGCAATAACAGTCTTAATCACCAATGAAATTATATCCGACCACAGTTTCTTGATGTCAACCCCTTTGGAAGACAGTCTGTAGAGAACGCTTGAAAAAGTCCTTTTGCTGCCAGTGTTTACATTGTCAGAATGGATGAAGTTCCCGCTGTGAATATTCAGTGAATAGTTGGTTAAGTGCATAAATACCTGGTGCAAGTTTTTCAGGGTGGGTTCTTGATACGGCTCTGTACAAAATCTAGAGAGTCCATCTTTGGCTATATAAATCTCTAATGGTTCTAAAGATTTCAGTAAGACATATAGACGAATATCAAATTTCAGTTTGTCAATCAGCAGCGGTTTGCTGATATATTCCTGGACTACAGCTGGCCGGCTCTGTAGATTTCCTGCCAGTCTAATGTCGCTGGGGTCTTTAATGAGGTAGATTCCATCCCCTTGACACCCACCATCAGGTTTCACAATGAAAGTGGGCTTCCAGGGTGGATCACTCTCTTTCATCATGCGAACCTAGAAGGAAAGAAGGATCATTAGATCAAAGAAGGACATGAATACAGGGAAAACACCTTGCTTATTTCTGAAGGAAAAGCTTTAATGCTAGGACAACATGTGAAAGGAAATTCCATGTACAAGTAAAATACACAGCATTGCAGAAGTAAACATCATGCAAGTAAGAGTGGAAAATACACAGTGATGTTGACAAGAACACAAAAACCAGAGCAAAAAATGTGGGAGAGGAGTTACCAATGTAGAGGAATTGCAGTTTATATAGCATCCCATCATGTAAATGGTCCCAGGAACCTCCTTTTAATGCAGTGTGACAATATACAGCCTGAAACATTTCTTGTTCTTGAAGGCCTCAACCAGTGGGAATGCAGAACGACTCACTAATGTAAACCGAGTTGTGAGACTAAGCCTTTTGAACACTTTCTTAAAGAAAATCATGAAACTTGAAAAAATAAGGCTGCTTTTTTTCCCAAGTTTAAATTTAGGCAAACAACATTGAGGAGAGGGAAGATAGGGTCTTGTCAAGTTACTGCTCTGTTATTCATTTGTGGTTAATGCTCTCTAAAATGGTTTGAAATAATATCCTAAACCTTGGTGGCCCTGTCCTGAAGACCCGGCATCTACCACTATCCAGCTATGACAAAATAGCTGCATCTTCCCAACCAGTAAGTCTTCCAATCTGAAATTCACATTTCACTATGTCCTTGTCACAATGGTATGGAATAAACTAAGGGCTTGTCTATATGGGGAAAGAGCCTGAAGTAGCAGGTGCACACTAGCTTCCCCGCACTAACTCCCGATGTGAACACTCTTACTCTGCATCAAGACTGCCTTTGTGCAGCTTAGCTTAAACGGCACAAAGGGAATAGCTAATGCACTTGAAATTCACATCCTAGCTTACTCCTCATGTAGACAAGCCCTTAGAAGATGCTCTTTTCACCAGTTAACCAAATCCAGACCTTAACTTCAACATGAATAGCACAAATGTTTGTGGTGCCTTTTACTTAATAAAGCTTTTGCAAACCAAGGTTTTATTCAAGAGACATGCACTTGAAGTTTCTGCCAAGTGCTTGCATCCTCCCAGTAAGGCTCTGTCTACACTTATGGAGGTGTGTAGAGTACAGCCACTATACATGTAGCTACAACCGCAGTGACCGGCTCCAGCTGCCGGAGCCTTTCACTGTGGTGAGGAAAGACTCCAGCAGGCAGAAGGCAGTGGGGAAAGGAGCTCCTGGAGCCTTTCCCCACTTCCAGAGCCTTTCATTGCAGTGGGGAAAGGCTCTGGCAGCAGGACACTACAATGCTACAAACAGCTGTGTACATGTGGGAGCACAGCTTGGGCATGCAGAGAACTGTGTACTATACCCTGGGGTTCCGGGCATGTAGGAACTCTACTCTAATTGCCTAAGCTGTGCCTTATGGTCTGCTGCTGTTTATCCCCACACTACCTTTGTAAGCAGGTAAAAAGAGAATTAACAATGAAAGAACATTCAATGCCATAAGAAAAGGTTAACTCCAATATTTTCCCTTGTAAGCATTACAACGAAGTCCATTCATTTCCACCAGTCTAAGATGATTTCTTAAAGCAACATTTCCAGGCTGACTGGGGAGACAAACAGATCTCTGAATTTTTCTCCAATTTCAACTTTCACTCAAAGTATCTAGCGATCATGGTTGCAAAGAAACACTTGTTTCATCTTTTGAAGGTTAACAGATGCAGAAACAGCGACCTGATTTTGCAGAGAGCATGAAAGCAAAGATCTGAGGTGTAAATTGCCCCATTCATTTCCAGAGGCACTAACTCATATGTTAGTTTGGGTCTTTAATAACATGACAGGGTTGTAGGCATGTGCAATTGGTTTTGTTTTCCTGAAAAGGGGTTCAGCTTCCTCAAGTGTGGGAAATTCAGATTTAAGAGGTAAATATTGAAAATTATATTCCGTTTTATACTGAAATGTATATAGAGCAAGAAACAGGGCCAGTTCAGACTGGCTGGCAGGGATGTAAACTGCAGGGAGCCCTAGCTCAGGAGGGACCCACCTCACTAGACACAGATCACAGTGTTAGTGTGAGGTTTATTGTGGATGCTCCAGGGTCATGCAGAGTGGAGTATACACATCTACAGCAGGAGGCCTCTCTCTCGATGTCTCTCTTCTTCATGAATTACAGGAACCCCACCCCAGCAACCCAAATATACATCAGGTCAGGTCCTATTTCCGTATCCTCCCTTCCTCCCCCAGTCCAGCAGGACTAAATCGCTTCAGTTGTATGACACGCAGTTTATGGCAAATCCATGGGATTATTGCACATAAACTCTTGAGCCTTGAAATCAGCAGCCCTCCAGACATACACACCTCGTTAGATGTGTGGCAAGCACAACTTTGCTGGAACCAGATCTGTCAAGAAATGAGAAATGTTCATTTTCCATCAATGTGTGGTTTTCACCAAAGAGATAGGTTGTGTTAGAGAAACTAGGGCATGCTAACAATACAATGTATCACAACAAAAATATTTGCCCCCATTGAATAGCATATTCTATACACGCCTCTAGTGGCCACTGCTCTTCAGTTTGTAACTGAATATTTCCTGTAAATTACACCATTGGTATATTCAGGCCTGGAACTCAACTACTAATTTTCTGATCAAAAGGAGCAAAAAATTCTGTCCACCATGATCACAGCAACTTCTAGAAGTGGTTTTGCGTCACATTAGGGAAATCTGTTCCTAGTGGATTACAATTTGTCTAGACACACAGGATAAAATAAGAAAGTGAGGAAAGTTAGTCCAGAGAGTTTGATGGTATTTAATATTGTAGCTAAACCTTTGGCTGGATCTGAAATGCATGACATGCCTACCCTTGTATCCTTTCCAACGTAGCACACTTCTGAGATTTTCAATTTGCCTGTGTTAGTTCCCCTCTATTATATTAGTTTTGCATGAAGTGTATTGCCCCCTAGTGGACGACTGAGTAAACAACAATTAGTTATTTTAAACAAAAACATTAAACAAAGATTTAAATGTGAAAAATCTGTTTAGGGAAACCACCACACTAAATAAGTGTTAGTTGTTTTACAGATAATTTTATGTGCCTAGATAAATCCTTTTAAATTTGCATTTTCATACTGTGGATTTCTCAAGAATTGAGTCAAGTGTTTTTTATTGTTACTGGGTGATAATGTATATTCCAGCAAGTTTTATTTGCAGAAATGCATATTGGCTATTGACTTGATAACCAGTGTGGGTTGGACTGGGGTGGATGGAGGGAGATGCCCTTCTAAAAGAGAAATTACTGGGTAAGAAATACTCCATTCTACCCTATATCATCCCCTAACGTGCATACAAATGGAAAGCAGCTAGTCTCAGAAGTAGAGAGGGAAGGGTAGGAAAATAGGACTAAGATGTCCCTTATAAAGCACATACATTTAGTTCATTTTGGTACCACTGCTCACAGCACCTTCCTACAAAAGATGTCTCTGTTGATGAAAGAAAATTGACTTTGTAGTGCTTACTAAGGCCATGTCTACATGAGGACACTCAGGAAAATTAAGCTGAATCAGGGTGTAACGTGAGAATGCACATAAAGTGCATTAACTGTCCTGCCACTCCCACTCCCCATGTGGATGCTCTCATCCAAGGAGGATTAAGTTACAGCAAATGAAGGCCACTTTGCTCCTGAATGAGACCATCCACATGGGGTGAACATGCTTTAATTTATGCACACTGACTTCCAGAGGGACCCTATGTAGGCATGGCATAAGAGCATTGCTGGTAGACAGGAGGCCTCTTTGCAGATTCCTCCCAGTGTAGCAATGTCCTTTCTGCTTACAGTACAGAGTAGGCACGTAACATGAGTCTTGATTACTTCTGACACTTGTTTGACTGATACCTAGGCCTCCATGATGCGTAATGCAAGCCATCATGCCAGGGAAATGTTTAACTCTGTAATACAGTCTGTATCCTAGATCCTTGGGATGAATATAGGGCATGATTAACACCAAATCCCTATGTAACATGGTCAGCCACCTCCCAAAAGCCCCCTCATAGCTGCGGAGGCGCTACAGCACTCTGCCTCAGTTTCCCTCTCTCATGAGACTTCTCAATAACTCACCCAGTCCACAGCATTCTAAAACATTCCCCTTCTGGAGCGGGATCAATGTAATTACCTCAGACACACATTAATACTTCATGCCAGCTTCATTCAGCTGGCCACTGGTTCCACAGGTCCAATAGTTCTCTCTCTTTGATACAGGAGCCCCCAGTCCTGCTTCCCTGCACTGGATTCAGTTCCAACTGTCCCTTTACTCCTTGCAGCACTCACCTACAGCTACTCTTCTTCAGTTAGCGGCAGTTCCCCACGCTTCTGGCATACTGCCACTCCCAGACAGAGTATTAGGGGCTCAGGTGGGAGCCTTGCTCCAGGGACCGCTCCAGGAAGTCTGTCCCTTCCTCCCTTATACTCTCAGCCCTGGCCTCTTCATTTATTATTAACCACCCAAGGGGATGAGCTGATCTTGTCACAGGTGGGCTAAGGCCCCATTTCCCTTTAAAAAGACCAGTCACCCTGTGATACCCCATCTCTGCTACCATTAGCTATGGAGTATTGGTGGTCTTGTCAGAGCCCAAAACCCCCGACCAAACTCCAGAGGTGACCGATAAAGCTCAAAAGCATGAATGAAGCAGGTAGAAAGAGCAGGTCAGTTATGCAGCAGAAAGCTTCCATTTACACACGAGTGTAGAACAGCAGTAATGACAGTTAATGGGAGTTACAAAGTTCAGATCTGGACCCAAATGCCCCCAAAGTTTGAAGTCATATAGATTTGGAGTTTTTGCCTGGTCCTCTGTAATTTCCACACATCAGTATCAGCAGGCTTTTAACTTTGGTTACACTAACAATACTGGCGGTAATAACAGAAGATGGTAAACACAGACTGCTATGGTAACTAATAACTTCTTGGACCAGCATCAATAAATGTCTTTTTACATGCCAGCATGAGGTCCATCCA